CAGGCCTGACCGAGGCCTGCTTCGAGGCAGTAAATCTTGTTTCTTCACTCGAGGTGACCCCTACAGTGTTTATTTTCTCAAATTCAACCCAGGCCTTTTCAGTACGTTACTAAATCAAATGCATATCTGATGTTTTTCAAAGTGACTTCAGTCTGAATGCTCACGTCGCATTTCATCTGATTTTACATCTGTGAGGTGGGGGAGGGCGGATCGATCTAAGCATTCAGGCTGCCGACACCAACCTTGAGTTCGTTGCCATTAGTAAGTCGGACTCGTTTCCAGTGAGAGTTGGACTCCACCAAGGCTGCCCTTTGTCACAAAATCTGTTCATAACTTTTGTGTACAGAATTTCTAGGCGCAGCCAAGGTGTTGAGGGGATCCGTTTTGGTGACCTTAGGATTGCATCTCTGCTTTGTGCAGATGATGTGGTCCTATTGGCTTCATTAGATCGTGATCTTCAGCTCTCACTGAAGCGGTTTGCGGATCAGTATCTCCAGATCCAAGACCATGGTCTTGAGCTGGAAAAAGTTACAGTGCCTCCTCTGTGTCGGGGAGGAGGTCCTGCCCCAAGTGGACGAGTTGAAGTATCTCAGGGTCTTGTTCACGAATGAGGGAAGAATGGAGCAGGAGATCGGCAGGCGGATTGGTGCTGCATCTGCAGTGATGCAGGTGCTGTACCGATCTATCGTGGTGAAGCTATTTACCGGTCGGTCTACGTTCCTACCCTCATCTATGGTCACAAACTGTGGGTAGTGACTGAAAGAACGAGATCGCGGATACAAGCGACCAAAATGAGTTTCCTTTGCAGGGTGTCTGGGCTCTCCCTTAGCGATAGGGTGAGAAGCTCTGTCATCCAGGAGGGACTCAGAGTAGAGCTGCTGCTCCTCCACGTCGAGAGGAGCCAGTTGAGGTGGCTCCGGCATCTATTTAGGACGCCTCCTGGACGCCTACTTGGTGAGGTGTTACGGGCACAGCCCACTGGGAGGAGACCCAGAGGAAGACCCAGGACACGCTGGAGGGACTATGTTTCTCGGCTGGCCTGGGAACACCTTGGGATTCTCCCGGATGAGCTGGCCCAAGTGGCTGGGGAGAGGGAAGTCTGGGTCTCTTTGCTTCGGCTGCTGCCCCCACGACCCGACCCCGGATAAGAGGAAGAAAACGGACGGACGGACCTTGAGTTTAAATCTTAGAACTACGCATGTCTGCAGCTACAGAACACATGTCCAGCTTGTCATGAATGACTAACAAACTGCAGAAACATACGATAGTAACGTCAGTGTTGGACTGTTTCGATACTAAAGTTGAACAATCTACTTCCAGTACGTGGCTTCATTCCAAAAACATAATGTTGCACTGGATCATCCGGCAAGAAGCAGGTTCAAATGTAAACAGCGAACTAAACAAGCATGTCAGATAATTAATTTATTTAATCTGCTCTGACTGCACAACTTCAGAAACTACATGCTACATGTAGCATCCATGTTTAGCTACTTCTGTAAACAACGAGCTGAATGTGACGTGTCGCATCAGTGCAGCGGAGAGTTTACACTGGAGTCTGAATGAGATCTCATTTAAATCATAATGTAAATGTTCTCGCAAAAAAAAAAAAAAGAATTTAGCATTAAGACCTGCAGAGTGAACGTAGCCTAACTGAACTGTTGGACACCGGAAGGAAATACGAACATCTGACTCAAAAATACCTGAAATGTCTCCAATATTTTTGAATGAACTGCAAATCTGGGCTTCCAGTTTATTAAACTGAAGAAACAAATTACAAATTAACTTTTTCAGATTCTTAAAATCTCAAATAGTATTTTTACTGATGATCCTTAAAGAGCTCCGTACTTTTCATGCAAAGATACAAAAGGTAAACCTCTGGGTTGCTGAGCTGTTTCAAAATAAATATTGAGGATCAAATTAAAGTCTTTGACTACGTCACACAGAAGGATCTGTTGCTTTGAAAATGAGGATGATAGTGGAAAGAGGTGGGGGTGTCAGCGTGGCATTTTAGATTTAGTGCATTAGACAGATAAGGCTTCCCTGGAAGGGACTAATGCAGCAGGAAGGGGCACAAGGAAAAGGTACAACAGCAACAATCAGGGCAGACAGCAGCACCAGAAGCAATCAAAAATCATCCCCCCACCCTCAACATAACAACATAATAATGTGCTATTTGGTATATGCAAAAATCCCGCACGGTAATATGACTGCATATGTTGCACATTGCACTTTCTTAAAACAGTACATGTCTCGCCTTACATTCTTATCTGGAATTAAATCCACACCCTCAGCATCTTCTATAGCCAGCTCACTGAATCATCAACACCTCTTTCGGGTGTCACAGAAAAAAAAGAGTAAAAACAGAAACTTCAGCAATAACTCCACGCACAAAAAACCAGGGTAAAAGTGAGGTGACAAATCAGATGAGAAATGGCTGAAAGTTGCGAGTCAAAGTGGAGCAAATGGATCAACAGAGCGTGAACAGAAGCTAGAGTGTGAACCAATCTGTGGTCTATTACTCAGAGTAACTCACTGATGATATGGTTTGATTGGTACCTAGAGCAATAAGAGGTAAAAGGCTGAAGAGCTGGTCCGGAAAAAATAAAATAAAAATGTAGAAAGAAAACAGGAGCAGAAGAAAAAAAGAGATATCAAACAGTAAGTGAGATGTTTTCAGGAAAAAAAAAAGGATATGGCCCATAAAATTCAATTTTCTTGAATGAACTAAAAATGAAATTCTTTCAGCTCAGACAGGGGAGGGGGACATTATGGTCTGAAACACGAAAAGACAACAAGACGATCATTTCAGTAAACCCTGCAGGTTGCTTGTAGGATTCAACCTAGATTTAGGGCAGCATAGGTATCTACAGTATATTCCATTGTACCTATGTTTTCCCTGGGTTAATATTGAAAGTCATGAAAGAAGCTGGGCTCTCCCTTCAAATGTCTTTTAAAGGCACAGTGTGTAGGATTTGTTGTTTTCAGCGACATCTAGTGGTTGAGTGGTTGAATCATCCTCCCTGGTCCTCCCCCCACCCCCACCCCCCGCTTCCAAACACAAAGGAGTTGCTACGGTGTCTCTCAGGTGTCAAAAACCTTTGATAATTCCAACCGCGATGTCTACCAGCAGCTTCAGGGCTAGTGATGTTTCAAGTGGTAAGATTATGAGCTTTAATAAGTAAAATTATCCCCAACAAATATTACATTTATAGTATTACAACTAAAAGAGTTTTTGACGCCGCCACCGCAGTTTGTCCTTCATGAGCCTTCGTAGACAAGATGGCGGCTGCCTGTAGTGGCGACCCGCGACCGTGGAGATATAAACAGCTTTTTATAAGGTAAAAATAATAAAACAAGGTCTTTGTCTGCAATGATTAGACATGTTTTTTATTATTGTCATTAGTGATTATCTCAATTTCAGCTAAAAGAATTGACAAAATCCTACACACTGTGTCTTTAAGGCTACAAAAGCAAGTGATTTGATGTAGACCACATGTGTCAAACACAAGGCCTGCAGCGCGACTCCGTGTACCAAAATTTTATTTATTTATTTATTTTTTACTTAACATGAAATTTGTTTCTTATATCAATTGTAAACTTTAAATTTATGGTTAAATGCAACAAAATTAATTAAATAAAAATAAATTAAAAAAATCCCTGCCCCTGAGCTGTTTGCTTTAAGTAGCTGAACAATTTAGTTGTATAGCTCAGTACTAATGACTGAAAATAAGCTGCTTTAAAGTCACCATAAAACATAAACTAAATCTGCCATAATGCAGCTACTCACTAGAAACTCATCAGTGAGTAAAACTTTTGTTTTAATAATATTTGTGTTTATTTCAGATTTAGTCAGTCGTACACTTAGTTCTTATCAGTGTTTAAAAGAGGACATGTTAAAACTCTGTTTAGTCAAAGTTAAACACGAAACATCAAAGTTCATTACAACTGGCCCTTCGAGGGCCACCATAACGCTCATGTGGCCCTCGGTGAAAATGAGTTTGACACCCCTGAGCAGACTGACTGAGTCAAGGTGGAACTTGTAAATTCCTTTGGCAAACTCTTCGTGGAGAGAGGTGCGGACCTTTTATCTGCTTAGGAGACGCGTGCACACAGCTTGAGCTACAGGTAAAGAAATGTTGATATCGACCCGATACCAAGTAAATACAAAGCGAGTACCGCCAATACTAATGCTGATACCAATATTTATGTGTATTGAATAATTTTGTAAGTTTGCCTTTAATTACTCAATTATGTTTTAACACGGCACAAAGATTTTGTTATAACTAACTACAGATTTATTAAATAATGGGCATGCTCCACATGAAGAAAACAAGAAAAGATGTTGCCTAATGGCTACCTCGTGTTATTTATTTGCACAGTAGTGCAAAAATCTGTAAATAAAAGCATCAATGTCATCATGCTAGCATCAGTCCAGTACCGATGCTGATCTTTGTATCCATAATATTGATATTTAGATCAATACGCCCACCTCTAGCTTGAGCTCAGCAGAGCAGTCTGGACAAACTGGCCACCCATGGTTACACACACTTATAAACAGTGTTGTGACAAGTGGGAAAAAAATAATAAAGTCAGATTACGAACAACAAAACCATGACAGCAGAAGCTGCTGGATGATGATCTGTCCACAAAGTGAGGGACAAACCTCCTTGGAGACACACATACACTTTAACAGAACCAATTAAAGTGAGGCTTGGCAATGAAGAAGGGGCTATAGTGTCATTTCACAGTACCTATGTTCTCCAGTGTATTTTTCATTTGTTTTAAAATATATTTGCAGGGGGAGCCAAGCAACTTTCATGACTTTCACGGGAAAACATAGGCACTAGGGAACACGGGGATGATGCCCTCGTCGGTCTTTTCTTTCATCCTCCTAAAGTACACAACTGGTGCACAGTGAGTTGCTTTCTTGTGATTTGATTTGAAGCTTTATGCAAGGGTGGAGCGGGAGCAACACAATAAATATCTAGTACCTGCAAATAAAAGTTTTGAAGAGCCTACTTTATATACAAACATGGACAGTATAATGGATGTAAAGGTGGAGTTTTAGTGCACACCGAGCCGACACCACACATATGCAGGCAAAATGAAAGTAAAAAACAGACAGAACCACAAACTGACACACAGTAGATGAAGGCACTATTGCAAGCAAAGTCCAAGAACGAGTTGTCACAAAAAAACATCAAAACCCTTTTCCAAATCCTTTTTTCAATCCCTTGGGCTAGATGCTTTAAACAAAAACTATTGTTTTCTATTTTGAGGAAAGCTTTTTGAAAGAGTATTTAGGTTCCTCGACTTTTGACAAAATGATGACGGAGAAAATAAAACCTTGCTAAAGGAAAGGATTTTCACATGCTGTCATCAAACTTTCCTGTCTGTCTGCTGAAACAGGAAGAGAGGTGCTGATTCATCTGCCTCGTCTCATCCCTCTCTTCTCTCCTGCGTCCCATAACTCCCAGCTAAACACATTTAAAGCTTGTCCAGTACAGAATGTCATTTCTTCACAGTGCAATGATACACAATTATCTCTTATCTCTTGTTTTATCAGCACCGTTCTAGCTGACCTTACTTTGTGTGGGAAGTTGAGTCAAGTGACTGAATGATGTGGGAATGTGTCGAGACACTCCTGGCCTTGATGTCCTTACTTGTGTGGGAGCGGTGTGGCGAAAACAAACTGTTCCTCGCAAACAAAAACAATCTAGCCCAAGGGTTTGATAGCTAAAGGAATACACACACGTGCAGGCATGCAAACACACACACACACACACGCACACAATCAGTCGTGCACTCACACGGTTCTCCTCCCTTCCCCCACAAGCAGACAAGGCAGTACATTCAAGGTAACAGAAAGTCAGTCCCTTCAGAAATCCATTGGGTCCTCCTCTGCAAGGCCACTATCAGCAACGGTTCTGCCTCCGTCTTTCGATGAAACCCCATCACTTTCAGGTTTGGCCTTAGGAGGGGCGGTCAGTTCTGAGCCCCCCTCCGGTGCACCCCAAGTGTCGGTGCTAGGCGGATAGAAGTCATCGTCAAAGCCACAGAATCCTTCATCCACACCCTGATCATAGCGCTGGTAGGTGGAGGCATGCACCTCGTTTTCTCTGGCTGTGATCTCCAGCGTGCTGTTCCACATGCCATAGCCGAAATAGATGAGAACGCCTGTGGAGGCAGAGAAACATGAAATCAGCGTATAAACAAGACATTGTACAGCAAGCGTGCGTGTGGATGGGATTCTTGTAGTAATGTCTTGAAGTAACAAATAACTAGTGGCAATTTTAGCCTTTTTTTAATTCAAATTTGAATGTAACACCCCCTAAAAATGTAACACCCCCTAAAAATAAAGAAACTATGATTACTATTATTTTTATTATTTGGAGGAGTTGTATTTTTCATGTAGCTTATAGTTGGTTTAAGCTGCAGCCACCCTTAATACCATGTCTGTGTCTAAGTTGTAGGGGAGACCGGGGACAGCTGCAGCACGTTTTGCATTTGACTCTGTTACTCAGAGATGGTTTGAATCAGACAAACCAAATTTTAATACATTAAACTTACATCTGTCTGTTAACAGTCAAAACCATTTTTAGATGATTAAAGCATGTACTTTCTTCACAATTTGCATTTGAAAATGAAAAGTCAGATGTTGCAACTGACCCCGGGGCCGGGGACAGTTGCAACATTGTTTGGGGTTGTTTGCAACATATTATTAATACAATATATTTCACTGTAAATAAAAGTTTTGTTATTTTTATATTTATATTATTGCTTGATTTATAAAAAATGTAAGTTATAATAATATAACAGTGTTATTTATTTATCCTTTTTGATCAAATGATGAACATAGATTAGCCTTGATGATTATACCTTATATACAGATGTCAAAGTCTAATTGATATAAAATACAGTTGGTTTTTAGAGACAAGAATAATAGAACAATTTGTGAGGTTATTAACTTTTGTTTTGCCTATTGTCACTGTACACCTACATTATGCAACATTTACATTGAAAGAAACTGGGATTTTAAAACCATTGTTGAAAACAATTGAAGAAAATACATCTTAAACACTTATAAGTTTTAAACTGTAAAATTGTTATGAATACCTAATACATAAGTGTAAACTTAAATTCAGCATCTTAATATCATCTGTATGTGCTCTGTTTTTATATGGATTTATTATAATAAATCTTTCCTGTCAGCCATGATAAAACCTCATGTGTTAGCTAAATAAGCTGATCTGGATACATGTTAACCATATTAGTTAAAAGTCAACATATCACTAGTTTAAACCATATAAGTTTGAGCTAGATCACAAAAACAGTGACAACAGTTAAACAAAAATAAAGCTAGGCAAAAATAAATAATAATAAATTTGGTACCTCGTAATCTTTTTTTTTTTTTTTTCAAATAAATCCTGGAGCAGTTTTTGAATCTGCTTACTCTTTCTTTGCAAGGTGGGACATCTAACTGAGCATGTACAGTGTGAGTGTCATCGCTCCAGCTTGTTTCTGTTTGGAGAAAAATAACGTGTTGCAACCGTCCCTTGTTGATACTGTCCCCGGTCTCCCCTGCAACTGGCTAATGTTACAGTAGACTTACTACTGGAGTTTTAATAGATAATTTAACCTACTTGTAAACACAACAGATGACCATATTGCTTTAGCAGGGCTAGGCACAGTAAGGAG